TGGCTATTGTGCGTTTCTTGACGATGACCTAATTTCCTGGTCTTCCAAATGATAACTCACGCTTTCTCGCTCCAATGAAGAAGCTGAGTACATGAGTGTTGCTAATGTGGCTTCTGAATCTTGTTGGCTTCTTAACTTTCTCTTGGAGCTTCACTTCACTACCCACTTTCTCATGACACTTTGGTGTATTATGATAATTTTAATGTCATCTACCTTTTTGAAAATTATGTGCATACTCAGTGTATAAAATATATTGAGATGGACATTCACTTTGTTCGGGAAAAGTTTGCGAAGGGTCAAACACGTGTCCTTCATGTTCCTTCTCGTCACTAGAATGATGACATTTTTACCAAAGGTCTACCTTGAGTTCTTTTTTATGATTTGAGAACCAGACTAAGCATCTGAATCTCCCGCTTCGACTGCGAAGGTGTGATAAAATATAATATTTCCTTGTAATTAAATTTGCCTTTATGTAATTATACTCTTGATCATTATTAATAAAACTCAAGAATTGATTTCCTTCAAATACTTCTAGCTCTCCAATCAACACTTCCTTATCTACTAGTTTATTATGAAAAATATCAAATTTGTTGAGATATTTTAATTGATTGTCAACAAATTTGACAATCATGATAATGATGATGATGAATCGAAATTTCTCAACAAATTTGTTACTTTGCAAAATGAATCAGTATATAAGAAAGTGTTGATTGAAGAATTAGAAATATTTAAGCAAATTTTAACAATTAAAGATAATGAGTTGCAGAAAGGTCGAAAAAAATATTGATTAATGTACATTATTCTTTAAATATAACTTAATTTTTCATATTATTATTTTTTAAATAAAATTAAAAAGTTACATGTTTAGTGAGAGATTGGTGTAATAAGAATTCCAAATAAGTTATAATAAAGACAAATGTATATATCACAACAATTGTAATCTGCAATTGTGGTTAAATGTTGTGCGCCAACTATTTCACTAGAGTTGAAACGTACAATCGTGATCAAATGTATTTATCATCTAAAATACTGACGTTGAAAATCGAACTCATGACCATTTTATATTTTATTAAGATTGGTTTTTTCAATCATGGTGAAATGTTGAGCGCTATTTTATTTTAACTACGACTACTAGCCCGTGATAAAAAAAATAGAACATTTATTATCACACTCTTCATTACTATGAACTTCTAATTATAATAAAATTCTTCTCACGACCGTGCTAAATTTTTTTTTTTATATCTAAGACGTATTGCTTTTTTTATTTAATGTATCCTTTTAAACAACATTTTTCACTACGGAAAATTCTACAAGTATAGTGTGTTCAAATGACTAGCTTACATAAATAATACGCAAAAATATATATATATATATATATATATATATATATATATATATATATATATATATATATATATATATATATATATATATATATATATATATATATATATATATATATATATATATATATATATATATATATATATATATATATATATATATATATATATATAAAATCCAACCTAAATACAAATTAATATTTAATTTATTTTTAACTTGAATCAATTTTTTTATCCTTAATATCCAAATTACTCCACTTTCTGATAATAATATTAACCTAACAAAGTTTCAAAAATAAAAATGATGGAGAAGGTTTTATTGTTATTGACACCCACCCCTCTTTATTTTAAGAGGATATTTTACTGATAATAACAACGTCGCTGTATTAGTTTTAACAAAACTATAATTTATTGACGATTACTCTTAAAATAGAAGAGACGTCAATAGCATTAACGATTCCATAATAAAAAATAAAAATAAAATAAGGAGACTTTTAGACTATAGGCATCTCTTCAAATAATAAGAAGTATTAATTTGGTTCATTTCCAATAGATATTTGTAAAATTATTCATAACAAATAGTAAAACTTCGTAAAAATAAATATTATATGTTTGAATAATTATTTATAAAAATAAATGGATATAAATGTAGGTATGGATATCATAATATTCTCTCTGTCTCATACATACACAATATATATTTATGTATTTTATTTATATTTATATATTCTAATTTATATTATTATTTAAAAATGTATATCTATCAATATTAAAAAGTTTATCAATATTAAACGATTACGAATTTAATATAAGTAATTGATTATTTCAACAATAAATTTTTAAATTTTTTTTAAATTTTAAAATGATATGATATTTTATAATTGATTTATTTATTTTTTAATAGGAATGCGGGTAACAGGTAACGAATACGGATATGAATATTTACATAACTATAAGGCACGGGTATGAATACTAACTTTGACACATAAGCGGTTATAGAATCAGGTACGTGAATTTTTTCAAATAGCAAATATAAGGACGTGAACTATAGTACTCTGCTCAAACCTCATCCATTTTCATCCATACACCACCATAATAAAAAGTATTTTAAAGTGAGAATATTTTCAAATTTATATTAAAAAGATGCATTAAGATGAATTGATAATATTCAACTAGAGAAATGGACAAGGGTATACGACCGTGGCCAACGATGAGCCACATGACAACAAACCTCGTTGAATCAAAGAACTTTGTATTCAAAGGCATCTGAAACCTACCGGTAATCACTTTGGTAAAGACAACATATTTTAAGCTCGGGACACTTTTTGATATCAAACATACAAAGTGGAGTTCTGTCTTACAATCTGGACAATTGTTCAATAATAGTTCAATGAAATTCATGAAGGACAAAGCTGTCAAAGCAACCACACATGTGGTCACAGTCTTTAACCGTAAAAAAGGTTGGTTCAGTGACGTAGAATCAATTGATCACAATGAAGGGAGACCTAGGAGATGCTACCAAGTGGAACTAGATAAGAGTTTGTGTGATTGTGAAAAATTTCAGGCATTTCGTATGCCTTTCTCTCCTGTTATAGAAAAATGGAATAGTGTAGTAGTCATATCATATGACGTATCTACCCATTAAAAATAAATAATTTTGTATCGTTTTAATTGAAAATTAAATATTAAAAAAATAAAATACACATTGATGCCATATGAAATGACTTGATATGGCGCCTCGTCTCTAATTTTTTTTTAAAAACCATTAATATCATATGACGCCTCCTCTCTAATTTTTTTAAAGAAATTATTAATGTGTCATATTATATGGCGTCTCCTCTTTCAAAATATGTTATTTTAGTAATTAATTTAAAAAATAAATTATTTTAATATTTAAATTGAATAAATAATTTATTTTGAAAAAAAATTCAAAAAATGGGATAATTTGAATATTAAGTAGAAAAGTGGAAAATTGTGGTAAAAAGCTTCCAAACCTACGCTTAGAAAACGATTAATGATAGGAGTAATAGAATTTATTTAATGGTGAAATAAATCGAATCTTTTCTTTAATTCTTCATTCAATTGATCATTTTACATGTTAAAAATAAGAATAAATTAAAAAATAAAATAATATTTTTACTAAAATATTATTTATTAAATATTGAAAATGGTAATAATATTTACTAAAAAATAAAATTAAAAAAGTGAATAAACTTGATATGAATATTTTTTAATACTCTATCCTTTTTAAAATAATTATCGTTTAAAAAATTTTTTTTTTAAATAAATATCATTCTTATTTTTTAATTTTTTAATATAATAATAATAATTATTTTTCTAATTATATTATATAATAATTATTCTCTACACTATTTTCAACGTATTAATAAAATTAATTTAATAAAAGTATAATATTTTATAATAATATATATTTTTTTTAATTTGTATATAAAAGTTTTAAATTACATTCATTTTAAAATGGAGGAAGGATGTTTTTATTAGTATTTTATTTAGTGATTAATGATGTCTCATGAATCCCTTGGATTTCAGAAACAGTGACAACACATGTTTGTGGTGATCTAATCTTGATGATGACTGAAAACAACGCATCTCAGAAGTTTCAGATCTCAGAAACAATCAATCAATTGCCGTTAAAAGCGTATCATGTCATTCCAGTGACCAATACATCACTGCTACAAAATTAGTCCTCTCTCTTTTGTCTTTTCTCATAGACTCTTTCAGTAACAGTTTCCACTTTCTAGCTCCATTGTTGTTCGCTCTTATCATAATTATTACAAATCAGGTTCATACTAGTGCTCCTGCTCATAAATTTGGATCGTAGATTCTGTTTTTTTAAACAGATTTTATGAACAGTTCAAGTCAGCTACTGCAGCATACGTGAGCTGATGCCACCATCCCCAACCAACCCAATTCTTCATTCATCACCAAATTCTCCTTTTTCCAACACAAATATCCGATATTGATATTAATATTGATACGTCGGGTTGACGGAAACTCGAGATTTAAGAGCGTGTTTTTTATTTTAGATTTGTGTTGACGAAGACTCGAGATTTAAGAGTTTATTTTTTATTTTAAATTTGATTTAAGAACAGATTTTTTGGTTTCAGACTTTTGAATCTGAAATAAAAAATACACTCTTAAGTCTAAGTCTTCGTCAACCTGATATATCAATATTAATATTAAATATTATATAGTTTAAATATACTAATTAGTCAATAAATATAAAAAACACTTTTTTATATAAATAAGAAAAAAAGAATACCAACAATTATTTTTAAGTCAAATCGGTCTAAGATTTTAATTAAATAGTCGTTGCAGTCAGCGCGGTCGTATAAATATTATTGTAATTTCCATCAATATAGGTGTTCTAACACTAATTTCAATCGTGGCATTATAAATTAACCGCACTCTCCACTAGTAAATGGTGGAATTGCTCATGAAGTTTGGGTATCAAAATTAAGAAGAAAAAAAAAATACTAAGTAAATGCTGAAAAATAAGTAAATACTAACTTGTAATTATGTGTATACTTCATAGTTGAATTTAGATTTAGGAGAACAAATAACATTGAAACATTCTTAGTAATATACACAAAATATATAGATATTGACTAGTGACAAGATCATGTATATGATATCTCAAGATTCTGATTCAATAACATTGGAAGATTTGAAAACTTTGCTGAAAACTGTCTTCAAATAGCAACCAAACAATGAAGATGAAGTTTGATCTGAAACAGAACCACTGACCCTTCCAATTCCATTATCATTATCATTCCCTTGTTCACTCCCTCTAATCTCGGAGCTTGAACTTCCTTCAATCACAATTTCAACGGAACAAGAATCATCATTCTCCAAAACAACAATTGAAGCTCTACAAATTGGACAATTAGAATGTGAACTCAACCACATATCAATACACTCCACGTGAAAGCCATGTCCACATTTCGGTAAACACCTTCCCATTTCACCATTTTCAAAACCACTCAAGCAAATCACACATTCGAGTTTTTCATCTTGTTGAGTTTCATTCTTTTGTGTATAAATGAACAAAGGAATTGAAGCAATGATGGAAGAATCAAGACCTTTGGTGTGTGAGCTAGATAGAGGTGAGTCCTCGATGTTGAAGCTGTGGAAGTGATGGAACCTTGCTGGGCCAAGGACATCAGAGACGGTTACGGTTGTTCTCCGGCGACGGCGGCGGCGAGCTTGAGCTTGAGCGTGTGCTTGAGCTAAGAACCATTTGGCATAGAGATGGAGAAGAAGAACAAAGAGAATGACTAGTAGAAGAGAAATGATAGCAGCAAGCATGATGTTGCTGTTATCTGAGAAAATGTTTTGGAAGATTTGAGTGAGGGAGTTCATTGGTTTGATGGGTGAGTTTGGTTGTGATTGCATTGTGAAGAATGGAGAAAAGGGTGGAAGAATTTTGAAGAAAGTTTGGGACTTGGTGAAGGGTTTTTGATAGGTGGTTTGTGTGGTTGTTATTTTTGTATTATGTGTAAGTGTTGAAGTGAAAGTGAAGTTAGTTTGACTAGGGAATAAAATAAGAGACTTTATTTAATGAGGTTTAGTCACACAACCATCTTTGGAATAGTTGTGACTTACTCCCTTATTTGATAAAATATTATCCATTTTTATTATTTTTATTATTAGTCATTTTTTAATATTTTCACATATATTAAAAAATATTTAAGAATATAAAAAATAAAATATAATGTGAGAAGAATAATAATAATTAATTTAAATAAATAATAATCAATTTGTTAAATCATTAGTTACTACTCTTTCCGTCTCACAATAAGTGATTCAGTTGACTATTTTATACAAATTAAAAAAAATAAATAAAAGAGTTAGAATGAATGATATTGTTACTAAAGTACCTTTTATCAAATATTAAGAATGATGAAAATAATATTAATTAGAAAGTATAATTAAAAAAAATGCATTGTACATTGAAACAAATCATTTATTTTAAGACACTTTTTATTCTAAATGAGTCGCTCAATGTAAGACTTAGGGAATAATTAACAAGTAAGAGACAAAGTGAGAGACTTAACTTAGATAAATTGTCTACACAACCTTCAATCTAAAATATCTTATTTTTGAAGAGATATTTTTAATAAAAAAGTTATAAATGAATTACAAAAAATTAGCTTAACAAATTCAATAAAACATTTCATATTATCTATCCATTTGTGAGTATATCTCATATTTGAATTACTCAATTTTACTGCGGTTAAAAGTGTTTATGAACCAAGTGGTTGTGATGGTGGTGACAATTTGAACTCCCCGACTAAAGTCATTACCGATTGAATATGTTAATGGGGAGTGTACATGCAAATATTTGGACTATCACACTAGTAGAGGTCATGATTACGATGCTTAGTGTTTTTAGAATAATATTGAGTTTCAATGGTTCATTAAGTTTACATATAGGGTTTAAGGTCTAGAGACTCTAAAACCTTCTCTAAAACAGGTGTCTCGTAGAAAAGGTGTCATGAGATTTTATTTCTCTCCTCATCTAACCAATATATAAGAAGTCATTTAAATAATAGGATCCTTTACATCTCTAAAACTTGTATGTTCCTTAATCTGCACATTCTCTCGAGATTCGAGTCGTCTGCTCCTAGATAGTTTGAGTATGGTTATGTATAGAACAAGTTTTAATCATTATACCTTTTGGGTTAAGTTTTCCCCATTTTAAATGTGTCATTTTATTTTTGGTAATTGTTGTTAGTTGTAATTCATAGTTGTAGAAAGCTAGCATTCAAATGTGTCGAACTAGCTAGTCGAAGTAGTAGGAGTCAGTTGTATTCGACAGAGTCGAATACAACATATAATTGTTATGTCGAAGTGTAACTTGTAGTTTTATATTTTGCACTTTGTAAGTTTTGGGCATGGTATTTTGTTGCCTATATAAAGGGCATGGTATGATGCAAAAATACTCAATAAGGATTTCACTTTTCATAATTCAGTTTATAGTCTTTCTTTTTTCTCTCTTCTTCTATCATCTTTCTTGAAAACCATTTTATTCCAACGAATTGGTATTAAGTAGTCCGGGTTGCGATTCAAAAATAATCTATAAATGAAAACGAAAACATAACATTAACACAATTTCCAGTGAATCCACCGATTTTCAAAGGGGATAACTACGAGAGGTGGTTTGCGCAGATGAATGTCATCTTCAGTGAATCTACGATGGAGTATCTGCATTAGAAGAGAATGTGAACAATATTCAACAAGTTGCGCACAAGAAAGAAAGAAAGAAAGATGAAAATGTATGTTATTGATTCACTAGTGTGTGGATTCTAATGTGTTCGAGAAGATAATTGAAGAAGAAACGACCAAAGGAGCGTGGGACAAGTTGAAGAACTTATACGCAAAGATGAAAAAAGCTATAAAAAAAGGTGAAGTTACAGATGTTGAGAAAGCAATTCGAGATGACTCAAATGAAGGAAGAAGAATTAGTCTCTGAATATTTTTCACATGTGGTGTTGTTAATGAACCAGATGAAGTCGTGTGGTGCTGTAGAAAATTTTAATTACGTTGTAGTATATATTTAAGAGCCCAAGAACCTAGCTGAGATGAAATTTGAAGAACTTCAAACTTCATTAGACGCCCATGAAATGAGGCTGAAGTAGAGGAACTTAGAAAGGGAGAAGGTGGTTGAACAAGCACTACAAGAAAGATTCATCAAGAAATTTGGGAAAGAGGAGGCGAAGCATGGAAATAATCTTGCTTATGATGAGAAATCAAGAGAGAACTAAAAGAATCACTCTGATTTAATTAAGAAAGGCATAGAAAACAAGTATGCTGGGAAGAAAGTTGACATGAAGGAGGTGCAATGTTATAACTATAAAGGATTTAGCCATTATGCTCGAGAGTGTCAAAGAAAGAAGGAAACACTCACAAAAGATAATGATGAAGTGCAATATGCACGTGCTAAAGATAATAATTCTGATGATGTGCTACTCATGGAAAACACTAAGTCGAACACTGAGCAAACCATATGTGGTACATGGATTCAGGATGCAGTAACCACATGACTAGTAATAAAAATTGGTTCACCAAGTTAGATGATTCAATTGAGAAAGTGATAAAGTTTGAAGATGATAGTCACATCATATTAGGTTGAAAAGAAGGTATCTCTGTTTTTAAAAAGGATGATGAAAAATCCAACATCACTGATGCGTTATATGTACCTTCAATGACAAGTAACTTGATATGTGTATGTCAATTAGTCACAAAAGAGTACAACATTAAGTTAGAAAAGAATCATATGAAGGTGTATCATTATGATGGAAGGTTGATTCTGAAGGAACCATTGGCAGAGAATAGGACCTTCAAAGTTGAAATCAACACAATTGATCACAAGTGTCTTGCTTCGACTGCAGAAGAAGACAAGAACTGGCTATGACATCATAGTTATGGACATCTAAACTTCAGAAGTTTATGTATGCCCAACCAGAAGAAAATAATGTATGGATTACCTAAGGGGAAGGAACCAAGTCAAGTATGTGATGAATGTTGCAAAGAAAAGCAAGCTAGGAAAGAATTCAAACATGACTTGCCCATGAGGTCGAAAGAAAAGACGCAGCTAGTTCATTCTAATGTGCGTGGACCTTTTGAAGTAAGGTCGAATTGAGATAATTGCTATTTCCTAAATTTCATAGATGAATTCACCAAATATATGTGGATTTACCTTATTTAAAGGAAGAGTGAGGTATTCACAAAGTTTAATAAGTTCAAATTGCATGTCGAAAAACAAAGTGGATACAAGTTGAAGAAACTGAGAACTGGTGATGATGGTGAATACACTTCTCGAGAATTTGCTAGATTTTGTTATGAGGAAGGTGTAGAGCATGAGGTCATTGCACCTTATACACCTCATCATAATGGCATAGTTGAAAGAAAGAATCAAAGTCTACTAAACATGACTAAGATCATGTTGAAAGCTACATATATGCCAAAGAGATTTTAGGGGTGAAGCAGCTTTAGCAACAGTATACATTTTAAACAAATGTCCAACCAAGAAGATGGTCGAGAAGACTCATTATGAGGCTTGGACAGGTGTGAAGATGAATGTGCTTCAGGCATGTACTTGAATAATTGAGTAAGAAACTAGATGATTGAATTCAGACTATAGTTCTCATAGGTTATCATTCGACTGATGCATACAAGTTGTATTCACCAAATGATGATAAACTTATGATCAGTCGAGATGTTCTAGTGGATGCAAGAAAAAGGTGGGATTAAAGTCAAGGTTCAATTCGACAGAAGCAAGAAATAAGCACAATTATGTTTGATTAAGACCAATAAATTGAAGTCATGACCAATCGAAACAAAGAATATCCTAAGGAGAATGTTAGGAGAGCTACTAGAGCAAGAACTCAGTCAAAAAGGCTATCTGGATATGAGAGATTTCCAGATCAAGCAGTTAATGCAGATGGTGACTTAATAGAAGAAGCGATGATGATGGTCGAAGTAGAACCAATCAATTTGGATCAAGCCATGAATGATTTGAGTTAGTTAGTATCCATGGAAGAAAAACTCAGGGCAATCGAGAATAACAAGACCTGAGAGTTTATCGAAGAGTTAATCAAGAAACCAATTGATGTGAAGTGGGTTTACAAGTTAAAACGAAGGCCAAACGAGGAAATTGCCAAGCATAAGGTAAGACTAGTAGCGAGAAGTTTTCAGCAAAACCTGGTATTGATTTCGACGAAGTCTACAGACTTGTTGCAAGGATGGAGACAATCAGAATTGTTGTGACAATGACAACATACAGAGGGTGGAAGATACATCTGTCGGATGTAAAATAAGCATTTCGGAATGGACCTCTAGAAGAAGAAGTCTATGCCAGTCAACCACTAGAACTCGAAATCAAAGGGAAGGAGTCGAAGGTGTATAAATTGAGGAAGACTCTCTATGGTTTGAAACGAGCCCAAGCACTTGGAATAAGAGAATAAATAACTTCTTGATTAAAGCAAGTTTCACAATATGTGTCTCTAAACATAGAGTGTATGTCAATGATGCAGATATGGCCAGTCGAATCATCTTGTTCCTGTATGTAGATGACTTGTTGATTATAAATGCAGATGAAACAGCGATAAACAAAGTCAAGTTGAAGCTGATGAAGGAATTTAAAATGTCAGACCTAGGGAATTTGTCATATTTCTTATGGATAGAGTTCAACGAAGTATGCCTAAGATATCTTGAAGAGGTTCAAGATGAGAAAATGTAATGTAGCTGCTACGCCATTAGAATCTGGAGCAAGTTGAGGAAGGAGAAAGATGATGAGTTTGCAAGTGCAACACTATACAAACAAATAATTGGATCCTTGAGGTATCTTTGCAATACCAGGCTAAGATATCTTGAAGAGGTTCAAGATGAGA